AAGCTGATGCACGGAGGCAAAAATTGAATTTAAAAACTTGTGATCAAGCCAGCACCAGTAGAGCCAGAAAACTTATCCCAACACCATCATGTTTCGCAGACTGTAGCTGTATTCCCTGTGACTTCAAGGTTGATCGGGAGACTATGTCCAAGATAAAGGGCATTACTGACAGATTGAAAAACATCAAGGAACGGAGAGATGCATTGAACCTGAAAATTGAAGATGGAACCAACAGAGCAGTTACACGAAGGACTCCCACTACTGGGGTGCCTGAAAGTCATGTTTTTGGCCGGCAAAAGGATAAGGATGCTATTCTTCAAAAGTTGTTAACTAATGAAGATAGTACCAAATGCTTTTCTGTGATTCCCATCGTTGGAATGGGAGGATTAGGGAAGACTACACTTGCTAGTCTTGTTTATAATGATGAAAAATTGGAAGGTGTGTTTGGGCCAAAAGCATGGGTTTGTGTCTCTGATGAATTTGATGATCTTCGAATAGCAATATCTATTTTGGATCAAATGAACGTGAAATCTGATTCAAAAGATCCTGCAGTGATCCACAGCAAGCTGAAAGAAATGTTGTCTAAACAGAAGTTTTTACTTGTACTTGATGATGTTTGGAACAACAACTATCACCTTTGGAACAGATTACAAGGGCTTTTCATGTTAGGAGCATCCGGAAGCAAAATAATTGTTACGACACGCGACGAGAAAGTCGCGAAAAGCATGAGAGGAGATGATTGGGTTTATCATCTTGATTTGTTTCCAGATAATGAGTGTTTGTCATTATTGGCCAGACATGCACTAGAAACAGAAAATTTTGATTTATATGGGCATCTCAAAGGAATCGGTGAAGAAATAGTGAAAAAATGCCAAGGTTTGCCTTTGGCTATAACAACCATTGGAGGGCTCCTTCGTGAAGATCGGTTAAATCCTAACAAATGGAGGGAAGTATTAACCAGTGAGATATGGAAAGTATCAGAAGAGATAGGTGGAGTTCTTCCAGCTTTGAGATTGAGCTATCATCATCTTCCTTCTCATTTAAAACAATGCTTCGCCTTTTGTGCTATATTTCCGGATGATTTTAGCTTGATAAGGACGATTTGGTCCTATTGTGGATGGCGCAGGGGTTTCTTCGACAACATCAACAAATAGATGGAGCGAAGGAAATGAAAAGCTTGGGTCATCAATACTTCCGTGATTTGTTATCGAGATCATTTTTCCAGCGATCACGCAGCAATTCATCACTCTTTGTCATGCATGACCTTGTGATTGAGTTAGCTCGAGATGTTGCTTCAAAAACTTGCTACCAACAAGATATGTCAGTCAACAAGAAACTTGAAGTCACTCGCCATTTTTCATTCTTTCCTAATGTGTTTGATACTCATCAAATATTTGAAATGATGGAGAAAATGAAGAGTTTGCGAACATTTCTGCCAGCTACGAGATATGGATTTAACTTCTCATCAAATGAAGTGGTGCCTTATTTTTTTTCAAACTTGAGATGCTTAAGGGTCTTGTCTTTCGATGGTTGTCGGATAAAGAAGGTTCCAAATTCAATTGGAGATTTGAAGCTTTTGTGCTATATTAATTTATCTAGGACTGAAATCCGAAGTCTACCTAATTCTGTGAGTTTTCTTGTATACTTACAGACATTGATATTAAGATATTGTATGAAGCTTACTCAGTTGCCAGAGGGTATCGTGAATTTAGTTGACTTGCTTCATCTTGATATTACTTATACAGTGAGGCTAAAGGAGTTACCATCAGGAATTGGCGAGCTAACAAATCTTTTGACTTTGCCCATATTTATTATTGGAGGTGGGCTGAGACTAAGACAGTTGAAAAACTTGAAGCAACTTCAAGGTAGTCTATTCATCTCAAATCTACATAAAGTCTTAGATTTTCGAGATGCTAGTGAAGCCAACCTTCATGAGATTGAGGGCCTTGATGAGTTAATCTTGGAATGGATTGGTGATTTCCAAACTTCACGAAATGTAAGTAATGAAGATAAGGTACTCTGTCAGTTGAAACCTCCTTACAATTTGAAGAAGTTTACAATCATGTTCTTTGGTGGACTGGAATTTCCATCTTGGATAGGTGATCCATCATTCTCCAAATTGGAGTACCTGGAACTACGGGGTTGTGAAAACATCACTTTATTACCACCCCTTGGGCAATTACCATCGCTAAGAGAATTGATCATAAGAGGCATGCCTGAGTTTACTGGAGATAACTCTTTTTTCTGGTAGTTTTTCATCACTAGAGAAGCTGACATTGGAGGACTGTCCCAAGTTGATTGGAAAATTACCTAGCCACCTTCCTTTTCTCAAAATTCTCATGATTAGAAATTGTCCTCACTTAAGTTATTCACTACTGAGTCTTCCATCACTTGGAGAGCTGGAAATAACAGGTTGCAATGAGGCAGTTCTTAGGAACATGATGGATGTCACTTGCCTCACCTCTTTGGAGATTAAGAGAATTACAAAGCTTGCCTGCTTGCCTAAAACAATAACACAGTTCTTGACAGCTGTTGAAACAGTAAACATTGAATAATGTGATGAACTTACTTGCTTGTGGGAGGACGGAGCCAGCCTTGTTAGTTTTAAGTGTCTGAGGATTCAAGAGTGCCCTTTACTTGTATCCTTGCCAGACTTGCCTTCTAGTATTCAAATTTTGAGTTTAAGAAAGTGTGATAACCTTGATTGCCTGCCTAATGGACTGCATGCTCTCACTTGCCTTAAGGAATTGTCCATACAAAATTGCAAAAAATTTGTGCGCTTTCCAGTAACTGGCTTGCCATTGCATCTCAAAAAGCTTCAGCTCGAGGATTTGGTGGTTTTGGAGTCATTGCTTGATGGATTGATGAAAATAGGGGATGGAGGCAATAATATGCTGCAACTTGAAGAATTAGTCATTAAAGGATGTGAGCAGCTCAAATCTTTTCCTAGAGACAAGTTACCCAGCACTCTAAAAAGGTTGGACATCCGAAATTGTGAAAATTTAGAGTCCTTTCCAGAGGGAGTGAATCTTGAACATTTGCAGATTGATAATCTCCCATCTCTGAAGTGTTTTCCTAGTTCCAAGTTACTAAGTGCTCTTAAGAGGCTGAGAATTAGGGAGTGCAAGCAATTGGAGTCACTTCCAGACAGGTTGCTGCAGGATTGTACACAACTTAAAGAGATGCAGATTGGTATTGTGAAAAATCTCAGAAGTTTACCTATTGATTTCGTGCACAACCTCAGCGGTCTTGTTGAATTACAGTTCTATTCTTGTGAAGGTTTCGAGTCCTTGCCACAAATGGACCCGTCGTCCGTCCCCAATCTTAAAACTTTGGGGATTCAGCATTTGAAGAATCTCAAGCCTTTACCCAATGAGATATGCAACCTCACATCCATCCAATGGTTAATCATAAAGGATTGTCCAGGTATTGCATCCATACCAGAAGGAGGTTTTCCTTTAAACCTAAAAGCACTTGAAATCAATGGTGAAGGCTTGAGGCAGTCGATGTTAGAGTGGGGCCTCGACAGACTTACCTCACTTGAATCATTCGAAATTGGGGAGATATGTCTTTCGGATAATTTGCAGCTTCCAAAATCTCTAAAAAGTCTTTCTATAACAAAGATGAGTAATTTGAAATCCATACCAAAAGTCCTCCTTCAAAACCTCCATTCTCTCGAGATTTTAGAATTTTCTTATTGCCCAAAGCTTCGATCCTTGACTAAGGAAGGCCTACCCACCTCACTTCAACACTTTCGGCTCTATCGCTGTCCCCTTTTGGAAGAACGGTGCTTGGAGGAGAAAGGACACTATTGGCCTCTCATAGCCAACATCCCTTACGTTGAGCTTTCGAACTAAATTGGAGTCAGGTACCAGCAACTTATTCACAAACTCACCATATTCTTAAAAAAAATCATATTTCGTTTGTTTTCTGTGCAATTTATATGTCAATTTGGTGCAGGTCTTACAGTTGGTAAGGAGTTTTTTGTCATGCTTCAATCTTAACCTATTCGTGGTCCATTTGTGTGCAAAAACAAATTTGTATTTTGAGAAAAGATGTTTGATATGGATTCTACTAGATTCTGGTATATCTGTTGAAGCGTAACCTGGATAATTCAGTTTTCTGATATGTGGGGTTGGCTGTTGGTGTTGTGAGGGGTATGCTCTCCATCCAAACCAATTGAAATACCATCTATTCTAATTAGCTAGCTGATTGCTTGTTATTTTTGTTATACAAAGTTAATTTCACATCAATGAAGAGGATGATGTATTCCCTTGATTGATATATCAAAAGCTATTGATTTTAGTTTCATTTTTTTTCCTTTCTTTCCATGATATACATCCAGCATTCGAAGATGAAGAGTCTGAAGATACGTAAAAGCTGAATCTGTTGTGAAACTACTTTTGTAGATTTTGGAAACCAAATGCAAGACATGTGGCATAGCGATAAGCTTTGGTTATTAAGTTAATGGTAAAGAACCAGAGTGGTCTTGAATAAAAACATCACTTTGTACTTTCATTGTAATATGACCCATGAATTCTTAAGTATGTATATGCTTGAGTGTGTGTGATCCTCCATTGAACAAATCAGCTGAGGTTTCACCTTCAAATAATGTTTGAGTGATTCTGTTGATCAGCTGAGGTTTCACCTTCAAATAATGTTTGAGTGATTCTGTTGATCAGCTGAGGTTTCACCTTCAAATAATGTTTGAGTGATTCTGTTGAAGTGGCTTTGTATTGTCATGTATTCATGTGCGAAAAAATCTATGGTTAGAGTATATATGGTGTTTTTGTTTAAACATTATATATCAGTCATAATCAAATTTTTATCTCAATGTTGGATTCAGGAGCATCACATTGATGTTTTGAGCTTTATTTACATAAGCATTTTAGTTACTTCAGTAATGTGATTTTAATTATTTGTTTGTGAAAAGGTACATACTAAGTATATGTTATCATCAGTTTTGGATCATTGCATTCTGCATTTGATTTAATCATATTTATACACACTTTCCATGTTTAAAAAAAAATGTTAAAAATGTCATCAAGGGTGGGTAGATGTAAAATATATAAGAAATGTATTCTGCTTGCAAAATCACATCTATTAGTTTTTGTCATTTTCTTACTGTGATTGAAGTCAATCCCCTCCTGGAAATGCACTTAGGTTGAAGAAAAGCCTATTTTGAAGATTAATATCATGAATTTCTACATTGTACTAGGGTGTACAATGAAACTTTACTGAGTGATACGAGCACTAACTAGAAAGAATTGCAAGATGGGTAAGCTTCTGATCTCTTTTGGACCAATTTATGCCCAATTGATGAAGTCATAATTTAGTTCAATGATAGGCAAGAACGATATTGATCTACAGATTAGTCAAAGAAATTCTGATTTTCTTTAGACTTGTGAAAGGAAATCTGGTGTTTAAACCTATCCAGAAAAGCTCCTTTGCTCCCTTCCTAGAGGAAATAAATAAGGTATTTGGAAAGCAAATTAGTAGCTGGGATCTTGGGAAGTTGAGCTGACTAGTTTCAGAAAGTACCAACGACTCATCTTTTGAATCTTCTATCTCCACATCTCACATCTATGAAAAGGCTCATAAGAATGACCAACAATGCATAAGCAAACTACAGACTGATCCTTTCATTTGGCATAGACTTGTGATTAACCATGGCTTATCATTGTCTTCAATTCTTTGTTTTATCACTTTTGCTGGCCACTTTGTTTTCAATGAACAGAAACAATTTCTTGATTGGGGGCTCGTAGTCTTCCGGAGACAATTGTACCAAAGATTGCTACATTACTTAAGGTTGAATAGCTACCATTGCCTGTAATTCCAACTTTGCCAAAACCAGAAGTACCAAAGGTGCTAAACCTCGAAGTCCCTAAACTGCCAGAGATACCAAAACCTCAAGTGCTTGAGCTACCAAAGCCTGAACTCCCCAAGTTACCTGAATTGCCAAAACTAGAATTGCCCAAGTTGCCTGAGATTTCAAAGTCAGAGGTGCTCGAGCTACCAAAACTTGAAGTGCTTGAGAGGGATTACATTGATCTTTTTCTCTGCATCTGCTATTCATGGGGAACTGATAAAAAAAAA